CTCGGAACCCGGGAGGCTTGAGCACTTCAATTGGGCCCATAATTCCTGGTAGCGACTCCTCTGAGTTGTCCACTGCAACACAGCTCACATGGGAGTTGGCTTGGGAGGCCGACATCGAGGGCAAGAAGCTGAAGGATGTTACTGTAAGGAGGCACCGCACGTGAGACGTTGAAAGTGCTGCAATATTGATCGTCTACCATATCAACAACTTCAATTCGTCACTCGTTTTCATTAGTAAGCAACTTTATAGAATCCACAGCACTACGTATTTCACGGCCTATTCTAGGTAGGCTACTCATGTCTACCAAGTACCTGGAAGATTGAGCAATATAGAACTATGAATTGTCAACAGGCCGTGACAGCAGGCGGTGATAAGCCTGATTCCTGAGCCATCACAGAGGTGGTGTTTGATGGAGGCTCCAACAACCTAAGCATAGTAGTCCCTGCAGTTGAAGTAAAGAAGATCTCGAGGAGGATCAGCGTGCGTAGACAAGGATGAGCATCCGCGCGGCTCTGGCGCCCCGGGAGACTCGAACACAGTCATCACAAGCTGAAATAGTTGTACTGATTTTCTACTTGATTCACAAAAAATGTTGGGGCTCTCAGAGATTCAGTTTGAGGATGATCTTTGCGTCGGGACATTCGAAACAACAGAAGTTCCATGGGCGACTGTTCATGCGTGCGACAGCGACACTCGCGTGTCTCCACTTCTGTACTAAACCACTTTTGTACTAAACGATGATAGGTGAACGATTTATACCGGATCAGGACTTTTTCGCACGCAAACGATTAAGTTTTGTAGTGGGTAAAATGTCCACTGTTGTACCAAATTCTGCACGTTTTTACTCACTTTATTTTTTCCGACAGAAATTTTTGACACCGGGTAAAACTTTACTTCCACTTCTGTACTAAATTTTTGGGATGCTTTTGCACGGGTTAAATTTTACGACTTGGGTTTTTTTCACACGTCTTGAAACGACCTGCCTTCCGCTACTGTGAGTGAAGCCCTCACTGCGAGGGAGAGCCGAGGACAGTCCTGCGTCTACCGAAGAGTATACATGTCGCAATTTAACAAGTCTCAACGTATAACCTCATTCCTTGTAGTCTACAAGTGTAGACTCCTAAATTATGTCGTAATTATTACGAGCCGTTGTGCGCTCCAGCGCAGTGTACGGAGACTCATGAACCATCATACGGTTTCCCGGTGTTTATACTTGATTGTATTACTCTGTTATTACTGTTATTGTATTGTGCGCCGTGACACCGGTGGCGTCACGTATTTCTGCATGCGTGCTGAGGCCTTGCTCGAGCACTTGCCTAGTGCTCTTAAAGGTTAGACTAAGGACAGGAGTGAGTTAAGCTTCTGATTCTTACTGGCCTGGGACTTAGGCTACAGCTCAAGTTAGTACACTGTGT